GATAAGTGTATTCTCCATCCTCATTGGGTACTTACCTACACTGTCTCTGTTTTTTAATTATAGTATATACAAAGCATTCAGAAACAAAGCCTGTATGACTGTAATAGCATTTTACATGAAAAGTGAGGACCTGTACCTCATTGCTGGATCGCTCTGTTCTGTGCACTTTGCCTGTGCCCAGTATAATGCAAATAGCCGTGTGCTTGGAAGGGTGTGAATGAGTGACACTTCCACTGGATTGTGTGTGTTAGCTATGCAGTCTCCTCTTCTTGAATGTGTCTCCAAATGTTTGTCTATGTTGTAGTTTTTGGAATACATTTAGCACACTTTCCTTTAGGTACAGTGATATCTAGATGTAGCCCACTGGTGCATTTTAAAAGTTGTATCAGTATATAAAATGATATTATTTAACTAATACTTCTGTAAGAAAATACTTCTTACCTTCTACCATGGGATACCAGGAAACCTTTTCTGCTGCTGAAAAAGAAGTAGGTTTTTCTAACTCTAATACAGTTCTGATTGTCCTTCGATCTTGAATTAGAAATTTCTTTGGTCCAAATGTGATTCAGAAATGTGGATTCTATCTCTTTTATAGAGTTATAGAAAGAGTTGTTAAAGAAAAAAAACCTTATTGTAATACTCTCTGATCCATCATGCCAATTCTCATCAAGGAGATCTCACTGAGAAAATTCTGAGAATCCCCACAGGGGTACCACTTAAATCCAAGTTGCTAGAGCTTATCCCAGGCCTGAGTGGTATGAATGAATTTCATTGCCCCGATCATGCCTCCTGTACATTGTTTCCTAAGGCTCTTTACTAGGCCTCAGTGCCATGTGACCACTTAACCTTCTCAGAGCAGAAAGTGTGGTAGGAGACCTTCTGAGGTGGGGACTCCTGCTGCTTTTCGGTTGCTTTATGAGTTGCGTAACTGGTTAACTGTTACTAAATTTGTACTAATTAGTTCCTAGGGGGCAGTAAGGAAGTGAGAGTAGGTATTGTATTGCTGGCATTTGAGGTGTTTTCAAAATTACCAGCTCTTTGGGATTAGCTATAAGAAAGTCATTCTTGTTGGATTTTCATGACAGAGAGGTCAAGGACAGAAAGGCTGCCACAGCGTTCTGGGAGCATGATGGAGTAGCTGCAGGAAACAGCTCTTGAGTATAAGCAGGGTCCCTCAGTTGATCTAACAGAAGATCACAAGGTAAAATCTTGTGCAGGGGTAGTCTTGGAATGAATGTTAGTTCATGACTGAGAACTCCTTGAAGTTTAAGGTACAAGCCAATAAAATATTTTCTGTATACCTCTTAGATACTCGGCTGTATTCTAAGTGTTGGAAGTATAACAATGAGCAGAACAGACAGAAATCTCTACTCCTGTGGAGCCTCTAGTCTAATAAAGGAGGATGTAAAATTTCATAAGCAAAGAGATGTATTTTAGTTAAAGGCAGAAAACTTTATGAGGAAAAATGAAGAAGGAAATGAAGGCCATGGATATAGGCTAGGAAAGGCCTTCAAAAAGTTGACAGAGGCTTGAAGGATATGTGTTAAAAAAAAAACAAAAACACTGTGGATACCTGAAGGTGTGTACTACAGACACTAGCTGTGTAAGAGGGACATCCAGGGCAGAGGCTCAGGGCAGAAACATTGGAGTCTCAGCACAGGTGGCTGAGCAGAGTGAAGAGAGTGAGAGATGAGCATACTACCAGGATACTAGGTCTGCAGGGCTTTGTCAACCGCTGGAGTTTGACTTTATGCTGAAGGAGATGGAGAGTCATTTGGAATTCTGAGCAGAGCAGGGACATGATCTGACTTACATACTGAGATCACACTGGCTCCTGGGAGGAACCATAGAGGCAGGAGTTGGGGTGGTAAGAAGTGATGAAATGTGACACAATAGACTTTCAGAATGGCTAAGTGTGGAGTGCGTGTGGACAGTGAATTTAGAGGTGACTTCTGACTGGAGGTGCCATTATGATGAGGAAGACTAGTGGAAAGACGGGGGCAGGGGGTTGTTTGTTTTGATGGGAGCTGGGTGGAATGATAATGCATCCAAGATTGTGGGAGAGAGAAGGGCAGAGAAACACAGGTTCTGTGTTTACTATGGTCTCATGACAGCCCTTACAATCATCAAACTTATAAGGACATTTTCTCATAGCACTGGGACTGGGCACTTTCCCCTGGTAAATTTCTGGGTCTAGTTTAAGATTATTGGTAAGCAGACACCTTGAGAAGTAGCCATGCGAAGCCTGTTGGACTGGAGCTTTCTACAGGTACAAACCCTCAGGGATGGGTCTTCCTTCCTGATGTGACTCCTTTTCTCGTCTTTATCTTGCTTTTATCAGTTGCTACTGCTGTTACCTGATGATTCTGTCTAGGGTTTGTTTCCCTTTCTACCCCTTGAAAAACCACACTCAGATCTTCTTTCTTCCTTTCTTGTTTCTTGGGCAGTACAGCCCCCTTTTATAATAATGGGCAATGGTTCAAGTATTTCCTTCTCTTCATTCCCTCCTACCTATCTGTTTCTTTCTTTATTTTGATTTGATATGTGAAACTTTATCTTCACTGGGTTGCATTGAGATATGTGTACATACATAAAACCAGAATTTATCTCATTAAAAATATATATGCTGGGCAAAGAGTCTGGTATTTCTGGGCATTCTGGCAGACAGATGGAGAGGGGCTTTAGTTAAATAGTGGCCACAGTAGTGAGATGGAAGAAGAATGGTTGAGTGTTGGCCTTCTCTCTTCTTTCCCCCTTTTAAGCTCTTTCATTATTTTCTGGTTACCCCAGTGTTGCTCCCAAAATCCTCTTTTATGCCAGGCGAGTTGTAAGTAACTGGTGAAGGGGAATCTGGAACACATTGGCAAGAAAGCAAGAGTATATCTGAATTCTAGAGCTATTGGTAGACATTGGGATACTGAGAATTGACATCTGAAGAAGAACAGGACCTGGATCTAGATTTTCAAATGATAATCCTGAGAGTAGAAACCAGAGGCCAAGAGGTTGATCAGAAGATGGTAATTTGTAAAGGAGAAGACCTCAACTATCAGTGAAACTTGATGGAGAAAGCCCCAAGGAAATCAGAGTATGAGGATGGGCAGGAGAGGACCTGGTGACTGACCAAGGTAGGGAGAGCACGCAGGAGAGAGGGAATGGCCACGTGGTGGCCATGAAGCTAAGCCGTGAGAGGCACTATGGAAGCAATGAGAGAGGGAGGCAAAAGGCGATCAGAGTAAGGTCCACACAGGAGCAAAAATAAGGTTCTTGAAATTGCCACCCACAGCCACTGTCATGGCAGATAGAGGAAACACAGTGAGTTCTGGAGAGATCGAGGGGCTAGAGACAGACTTGGGTGCTCTGGGCATAAATCATGATGATTGAGGTAATAAAAATAGACTAAGGGCTAAGGGCAGCTCTCCAGAGATCATCACTGTATCTCTAATAAATATTTCCTTTAGAAAATATGTTTCTGCCAAGGGATGTTTTGTTTTAGAAGAATGACAAAAGAAGTAGGGACTAAATTACTTGTCGCTAAACCAGCCATTACTCATGAAGTACCATTATCAGTCACCTACACAAGTTTCATCTGAAGTTTTGAGTTCCTTTCAGCAGTTTGTTGCAAGCACATTCACAACAGAATCTGTGCTAGTGTGAAATACGTCATGCCCATTAGCTAATCCTTCAGGTGCCTGCTGGGGTCTGAGAGACATGAGACAGCATGACCAAGCTTCACTGCAGAGACACAAACACAGAAACAAGGAACCAATACTAGGCTTGATCCCTCTATCTTTTTTTTAAAGATTTAATTATTTATGCATATAGAATTGGGGTACAGGCCAGAGGTGGAGGAAACATGAGGATTCACCAGAGACAGAATGGGGATCAGAATAGGCCAGTTGATGTAGTACACTGCAGAGTGGATCAGCAGGTGGGTCAGGAGAGGTCTGCCATGCCATGTGGGTCACCTCCCTGGCCAGGAATCAAACTTGTGCTGAAGTGGCTTATTCTTTGTAGCGCTGTGCTTTAACCCACTGTGCCACCAGAGAGGGCCTTCTTTTTCCTTCCTAAAGAGCTTCTTCTTATTCCTGCCCCACAAAGCTAGCACCCCCAGTGGCCAGCTGCAATTACCAAGATTAAAATCAGCCCTTGAACTGCCATTCTTATGATGCCTAACTGTAGGACAATTACCTCCAGCCCCTCCAAGTCCACTGACAATGTTGAAAAGGATTGCTTGGGACGATTATACATATTCAAACTGTACTAGCTAGTTTTTGTTTTGGTTTTTTTTGTTTTGCCAAATTGGGGGGTGGGGGAGGGGAGGGGAGGGACATGCTTATTAAGATTTTGCCTTAAAAAATAGACTTTTTTTATATTTGTGTGGTGAAATTTTTCTCATGCATTATATTACAGAACTGATTTTCCAGAACTGTCGATCGTATACAGTGTTGGATACATTATATTGTTCTTATGTGATTTAATATATGCATAATTTTCTTGACTTCTTATCCTTAAGAAAGGATATATGGCCCATAATTCCTATGACAGTATTAGGCCTATAATAGACCATTTCAGAGTAATTTGTTTGGCTGAAACTCAACTATAATGGAAAATTTGTATTTTATATTTTCAAAATCTGCATTTCATTTGGACTTAGAGGGCATTTCAGTATTAAATACCTTATATTCCACCTACTTATGCTTTGTGCATGCCCATATTTGTAAGTCTGGCATATCAGGATTATTTTGCCATATCATTTAGAAAACAATACTTGATGCTCAGGATTCAACTCATGCAAAAAGGTTTTAGCTAATTGATTTGGAAGGGAAAGTTGAGCTGCAATAGAATTAGTTCCTATGGCATTATTGGCATCATGCTATTGCATGACAATTTCACTAATGTAATAACAATAGTGCCATTATTTGCCATGTGTTCCCCATAATTTGGTAGATAAATTTGAGTGAGCAAAGCTGAAGAGTAATTTGCTCTTTGTTTTTCAAAAGGTCTCATCAGAAAATTGAAGACCCGGAAGAAAGCAGTGATGAAATTCTTGCTCGTCTAACATCTGAGGTAAGGCCATGCTCTTTCCTTACCTGGAGGTGCAGAAATAATGGGCAGGAGCCTGGAAGGGTGGCAGTTGTGTATAAAGTGGTGTAGAGAGATAGTCCCCTGTGAATGCTCTTCATTGTGGGTGGCTGAAATCAAGGCTAATGGAGACAATGACTTGTTATATACTTCATGCAGTCTCTCCTGCAAGACCTTAGGTGGTCCTAGTGGAAAGTTTCTAGAACCTTAGCAGAGGCGTAATATCTGATTATTTAAATACAGTATGACTTAACCTAGGGAAAGTTATGATCTGTTGCACAAAAGAAAAAAACAATGTATGTCTCTTTGTGGAGGAGGGGAACCACCTCAGCTAACAAAACACCAGACTAGGTTTTTAATATACTTGATTGCAACATTTTCACTGTTTTTTTTAAAGACTCATCAGAGTTGGTAATTGTCTACTTGGCTGAAGGAAAACTTTGCATGTCTTCATAGGAAAAACTGGCCATGGTCACTAATCATTGAATTTCAGTATCTTACAAAATCTTTCATTGAATTTCAGTTTAGACAGGTTCTAGCCAGCCATTCTATCTTACAAAATCTTTAACCACTGGCCTGACTTTCTGGAAACTTTTCTAGCCTTCCCAAAGATTCATTAGCTCTAATGTAGCCTTAGCTGCATTATTAAAATGATAATTGCTGCAAATCATGCTGGATTGGGAATTGTATTTGGACTGAAACTCTTCTTATACAGAGTTTTATATTACAGATTCTAGTGACTGGGTAGAGCTTGAAAGCTAAAAGTTACCTTTCCTATTCTACTGTAATTTACCTTAGAGAAAGCAATTTTTGACTAAAGTAGTGATCATGGGTGTGAAACTTAATGTAAAATGAAATTTTGACAGTACATTAAGAAAACTGTTTATCATGCCCTTTGCAGTTTAAAATATTGTTCAATGAGGAGTGTCAATTATATGCAAAATCTAATAGTCAGCTGTTTAAAAAGTACTCCCTAAGGGCCAAATTCTATATTAAAATTGTACATATTTATACACATTCATATAAACACATACACAGTCTGTTAAACTTCACAACCCTATATAATAAGTATTATTTCTGTTTTAAGATACAAAATTTGTAAAAAGCAGGTAACTTTCCCAAATCACCAAATCTGAAAGGAATAAAATGAGGATTGAAAATTGAAATTTTCTGCTTTTTAATCTTGTTCACTTAAGTACTATAACTCATTTCATGATGTTATTATTAGGATAATTTCAAAACAGCAAAGACATGTAAGATGTGGGCATAAAGCTACATGAGGAAGACATGTACATTTGGAAAGTAAACATACAAAGCAGCTGGCAGTTGAGCACCAAAAATATTGTTGTATACAATAAATTCAAGAATAATTAACAAAAAACTTCTTCGAGGAGCTAGAACTTGAAAGGTTGAAGGCAGTCAGAATTTAAACAGCTAGATGTGTATACCAGCTGTAGGATATACTATGGACAGGCATAGGAATGAAAAAGTACAATGAGCCAACCCAGCCTTAAGGAAGGGCATTATTTCTTAACCAGAAGAAAATGAAAGACTTGATGAAGTAGATTTAAGAGGAGGAGTTGGAGGTGAGGGCACTGGTGGAGAAGTTGACAAAAACCTAGTTTATGATTTTTTGTGTGTGGGAACCAAAAGAAAAATGTGTTTAAAAGTCGTACAAATAGGGCCCTCCCTGGTAGCTCAGTGGGTTAAAGCACAGCACAAAGAAGCTTAAGCCACTTCCTCAAGAGTTCAGTCCCCGCCTGCCCGGAGGAGACCACATGGAGAGGCAGACCTCTCCTGACCTGCCCGCTGCTCCCCTCAGCAGTATACTTTGTCGATCTGCCTGTTCTGTACCCCACTCTGTCTCTGGTGAATCCTCTCACCCTCTGCATCTCTGGCCTGTACCCCAGTTCTGTACGAATAAATAAATAAATCTTGAAAAAAAAAAGTACAAATAATTAAAAAAAAAATTAATGGGGTTGTGTAAGAATAGATAAGGTATAAAATAACTAAAGTTTTGAACTGTATTCATAGAAAATCACTGTAATATTCTTAGGAAGTTGAGAAAGGTGATTATCGTTTTGAACATATAGAGTTTGAAGAGGTAGGAAAATAAAATAATGGGGAGATATCTAGAATCAGGAGCTCAGAGAGGTCAGGACTAAAGTTATGAGAACCAGTTAGAGCAGAATGGAATATGGACCCTGAAAGAGCTCCTCCCTCCCCCCCCCCACCACAGGAAGAGGAAATTGAGAGGTGTGGAAATAACTAAATTAGTTTTTATTTGCAAATTCAGATTCAAGAGAACCTCTAAAATGGGAGGAAAGACAGCAAAATGTTTGCTGTATATTTGGTTGAGGCACTATTACTAGAAAAATCTCTAAAGGCCTGAGTAAATTAAAGGTAGGTGTAGGAGTAGTTTTAGAAATTTGAATAAAGGACAATTGATCACTGATTCACCTGGAATCATGAATATAGCATTGTACTCAGATAAAGGACCTTAGGTTTCAATTCTTACATTACTGTGAGCTTGGCCAAGTTGATTGGTTGGACTAGGCAACATCTAGGTTTCTTAATTCACTAAACAATAAACCTGTAAGAAGTTTTAAATTTAAGGGGAAAATATGACTATAATAGACTCCATTCATTAGAAAGTCTACAGGAACACTCTGGGCATTATTGTCTGGAAATGGTCTAACTTTCCTTGTTGTACATACCACTTCTATCTTACAGCCCTAGCTTCTTTTCTATTATCTTCTCACCTTACAAGTTTTGTTCATTTGAACTTCTTTTCCTTTTCATTCATTAAGGGGTCTGAGAAAACTGGCAGACCGAAAAGGACCCCTGAATGACACAGGTCCTATGCTTGAAATTCTGAACATTTTTAAACATGAACTCCTTCAGTGCATGGCAAAGAGAGTATTCAAAGTTGATACCATGGATTTTTATATATTTTTGTTATATTCCAGGGTGAACTAAATATAGGGGAGAACTTCTAGTTCTATTTGGTGAAGCAGTTACATCAGTAGAAATTACAAAGGCCATTTGTGTGGCCCTCTGTGCTGCTTGGGCCATCACCATAGTAAAGAAAGCAGTGTTGAATGTTCTGTCATGAAACATTAACCTGGTGGTGGAAGTGACTGAGATTGCTTGAGAGAGAAAATTACAAATCAGGTGTTCAAAATCCAGGGAGATCCATCATTGGAGATGAACACAAAATCTTTACAATGGGACCAAGTAGCTAGATAATCTTACACCCTGTATTTTCTGCAGATTTAGTTTGTAATTTTAACATAAATAGATTCCTCTGTATGTGTCTGCTCTATCTCCTTGCTCATGTTCAGTTCATCTAACTTTAATGGAGAATCTCTGCTTTTGATGCTCTTAGTGGTATCCTCTGAATTCATGCTCATAAGGTCCTCTGAGAAATACCTCTGAGCTAAACAAATGAAAACCCAACTTGTATATGAAGGCAATTGCTATAAATTCTAGAAGATTTTGAAACAGATGAAATCCCAGGAAGCAAATAGACATGCTTATATGTATAGTTTTTGTTGAATATGTAACAGGAGTTTTGGGGGAGTTGGTGATTTCCCATAAACCAAAACAAGAGACAAGAATTGGTGGAAAGGGCATGGTAAAAAGTGGTCCTGCTTTCTGGGCATGCTTTTCAGGCTGTGGCTCAACCCTTGTCTTCTGCCTCCATCTTGGGAAACCAGTTTTGCTTGGTTTTCTGGTTTTGTCTGCAGGAGAAAGATAGAGAAGCAGATTAAGGATAAACAGGGCAATGACAGGAACTTATGCTTACAGACTAGTAACAGTTCCCTCCTCTGTCTATATCCTGCACCTCATTCTTGAGGAACAATGGGCAGACATTGGACAATGAAGGACAGTCTTCTGAAACTACTTCCTACTGTATAGAGGCAGAAGTATGGGAGCACATGGAGGAACAGAATTTTTCCCTCACTGTCTTGAGATATGACTGGTTGTCATAGGGTTTTAATCCCAATTTTTATTCCTTTTGAATTACAATTATTTGGAAGTTTTTTTTTAAAGATTTACTTATTTATGTATACAGAACTGGGCTACAGACCAGAGGTGAGGGGTGGTGAGAGAACTTAACAGAGACAAACGGGGAGCAGAACAGGCAGACTGATGAAGTACACTGCTGAGGGGAGCAGCTGGCGGGTCAGGAGAGGTCTGCCACACCATGTGGGCCACCTCCAGGGCAGGCGGGAATCAAACTCATGCGGAAGAGGCTTTAGCTTCTTAGTGCTGTGCTTTAACCCGCTGCGCCACCAGGGAGGGCCCTATTTGGAAGTTTTAATGGCTCTAGACTTTTGGAAATGAAGTTATTTAGAAGCCAAATGCTAAAGATCAAAAGAAGTACATACTAGTAATTGTAGGACTGAGTAAGGGTCCCATGCACTCAAATCAACTTTAAAAGACTATATCACAGAAGGGCAGGGCCTTTCAAGGTGCCCTGACTCAGGGTAGCCACTTCTATTTCTGTGTTTGCAGTCTCCACCTGGTCCTAGGGCCCAGCTCCAGGCTGTTGCTGTTACTTATCTATAAATGCAAGCTGTATAGCAAAAGTTAAATCATTTATTTCCTTTTGTGCTCTTTAAGGTCTGAAAGCAATATAACCATTTGGCCTTAGTTACATATGTGTTAAAGAGAAAGAGACCTGCTATAGAATTTCTTTTCCACCTCTCTAGTTTAAAAGGAGGTGATTATTACAAAGTGCTGTCTGTTAGCAACTTCACAGACACATTTTCCTCTGCTTAGTGTCCAGAAATTGTGATGTAACTCCAGTTACAGACCTCTCCTGGGCTCACATCACCTATAAATTTGTCCTTGCTGCTTTCTTTATAGTAAAGGAAAAGTCTTGTTTTTCCCCACTTAGGATTCTTCTTTACAAGTAAAACAGACAATTTTACTTTGATTAAGGCTTACATTTAACTTGAGCCTCTATCCTTTTCCTT